TTTAATGGAAAATCAGGATGGGTGGATTTTCTAGTTCGATATGCGGTGAGTTGTGTTATTTGTCATGAATGTTGGGAGTTATCCTATTATCACTCTATTTCAATCCAGATGAATTTTTATTTTTTATATTTTCTTTATTAATTTGTTTGTGTTTATCATTGTTATTGTACTAAATTTAACTTACCTTCTATGTCTTGGCCTGTGGTCATTAAAGGTTTTTGTTTATTTCTCATTTTTTTTTAAAAGCTTTTGCATTACATATCCTTATGATTTTGTTGAGTTTGTACACGAGCTCTACAAGTTCCACCTTCAGGTACCATTCCAACAAAATGGCATGGCTAACTGGATCATATGGTTGGAGTCTTATCTTAGATAATCACATGGCTAACTAGATTCTCCTAAAGAGGGAAAGAAAATTAAATTCTAAGTTTAGGAGTTCAAATTCAACTAAATTGCATAAATTGACAATGGAGATTAGAGTCAACAGTAGTTTACAATCACATTTACAGTACATTGTAGTATAAGATTTCAACCGTAGATTTAAGTCCTTACATCTTTGATGGGGCTTGAATATCCGAATAAATGAAAGACCCCAAAAACAGAAGTACAATAATTTTTTAAAAGCATTACTCTGTTTCAAGTATCTTCATGCTCTTGTAGGAAAAGCAATAAACAACAACAGTTAATAAATTTACAGTTGCAAACAACTTTAACACAAAGAATATTGCCAAATGATATACTTGGTGCCACAATGTGAACTATTTAAGAAAGAATAGATAGAAGCTAAATAGATCAAAAAAGTAAGTATTAATTGTGTTCACATGCTATGCCAATGACTGTAGAGTGTAAAATACTAGATTTAGTACAGATAGCTACGTCACTAATTAACTGAAAACTTCGTAGGTAACAATGTAAATATTACTCATTCCAAAATAAGCAACACCTATATTAAGAGTCATATAAATAACACAGTGACTTGTAGCATTACATCAATTGCAAGCTTCAATAGCAAATATTCAGTTGGTAGTACAAAGAAACGGATAAACCAAACGAATATTACCATTTGCACCAAGAATTTAATTTGCATCTGTTACTCAAAATAAATAATTGGTTTTGGGTCTCATGATATTTTTTTTGTAAATCTCTTATACGTTATGGAGTCTGTAAAAGCCTTTCTTTTGAATCATCTTTAAAGATTATTCTCTCATCAAATAGTGAACAAAAACCAATGGAAAATGTTATAAAGCAAAGCTTAAGATATAGCAATAAACCAAGTAAATTAATCTTTAACCATGAAGATTAGAACACACATACATCGCTATGAAACTAATTCTATAAATGTGATGAAAAAGACCTTTAATTGTCAAACTCTTAGTAAACATCATGATACCCAACTTTTATTCAACCCATTTGAATTAAATGATTGTAAGTTGGTTGAGCTGAGCAGTGAGTTTCTGAATTCAGATCCTCTGTTACTAGTGTTGACCATGGATTAAAGTTAAAAAGAAAAGAAAAGAAAGATGGGAAGATAATTTTAAAATATTTTCCCCTCATCCTTTCCCAGAAAAACATAATTTCATTTATGCAGCTTTGGACAGAAGTTTAAACAAAATAATAATAATAATGATAATAATAAAATTTAAAATAAAATATTTTCATTTTTACCTTCTCCCCACTTTCTTCTCAACCAAATAAGGAAAAGTAGTTATTTTGAAAAATAACATCTATGTACATTTATATACAAGATATACATATTACGAAAAGAAAAATGGAAAATGCAATTGAATTGTATACAAGATACACATTTATATTCAAGACACAAGTTTCATCTTCATAAAAACATATCCATCTAGATGTGTTCTTATTGTTATAGATAGGAGCTCTATAAAAGTTGAACTAAATTGACAGATTCAATATACATATCCCAATAATATCTTTAATCGAATTGCACACATACACAAGTTTCTTCAATTTATCAGCATAGAAATTCTAAACTACGTTGGAGTTGAACAATTCATCTCAATATTCCTTAGTCCCTCAGTCACTGCAATAGATTTGGACGGTCTAATTGCAGTGTTGAATCACAAAGTTTGGGATTGGGTGCTTTTTTGCATATTTTGATTATCAAATCATTTCAAGATGCAATTGAGAATTTAAAGGCTAAAAAGATGGTAAGAAGAAAGATGAACTAGAGAGAGTCTCAAAATCTTTCTCATATTGGGTAGTTTTGAATAAGATGGTCTATGGATGCATGTTAATCAAGCCAAAGAGTTGACCATTTATAGAGGGAGTGTAGATACAAGAATTATCAATTTTATTGGTTTTTTAAAAAAATTAAAATGTAAAAAGAAAAAAAAAAGAAAAAAACAAACAGAGAGCTAATGAATTCCTAGAAAATAGAGCAACATACAGAGAAAAAAGAAAGAAAGAAAGAAGCAGAGGATGATTTAGGAATGTGATCAATGATATTGCTGATTATAGATGGAATCAAAGAGAGATAGAGAAAGAGCTAATAATTGGATTACAAATTTTGAACTTTTTCAAAGGAAAAAGCTAAGAAAATAAAAATTAATATCAGATATTCATTCTTCACAGTTAGAGTTTTGAAATCAAAGTGGTACAACTATTGGCTACAGATGTTAATTTTCATTGAGAACCAAACTTAATATCATATATTCAATAAGGGTTAGGGTTTTCAAATCAAAAGCCCTAATGTAAATGAAGTTTAGAGTTTGAAACAAACCTCAGCTACAGAAAATATCTCTTGGAAATATTCGATTAGAATGGAAGCAACTAGTTCTTGACGTCGAGAGAGTGAAAGATTGTGAAGAAGATGTCAACACTAAGAGAATGGTTGCCCCGACGCCGACGGGGCTGGTGGTCTTTAGCAATGGCTAAAGCTTAGGCTATGGCGGAAGAGAGGAGGGAGGAGAAGAGAAAAACAAGAGCAAGAGAGGGAGGCCAACTGACTTGGGACCTCTCAACTCCTCTGATTTCCTTTACCCTTCTTTTGGTAATCGATGCCGACAAAGCTGGTGGTCTTCTGCAATCGTTGAAGCTTCGGCTATGGCAGAAAAGAGGGGGCAGGAGAAGAGAAGAGCAAGAGCAAGAGCCAAAGCAAGAGAGGGAGGTCAACTGACTTGGGACCCCTGGACTCCTCTGATTTCTTTTGCCCTCTTTTTGGTAACCGATTACACTAGTTGCCAATTCAAAATTAAATTATTAAAATAATTTAATTATGTGATAGTTATGAGATAATATGATATGTATGAATAACTAAATATAACTAAGTTATGAGTTAATATGATAATGGTTATGATCTATATGACATTAGTTATAAAATAAAATCACATAACCTCATAACTAATGTATGGTACATGCAAATGTACCATAGCATCACCCATCAATCAATTCATGGTCAACCTAAAATAGTGACTTGCATGGTTGTGCATACCATGATGACCGCCTGATGGTTCAAGTAACTTGTAGAAAATGGGTCTACAAACATAACCCAAAATGTTAAGCTAAGTTACTAACTTGAAGTTTGTGGTTGCATTTAGAAGCTCCCACAAAATTTTTTAAAAGAACTATAATCTGATCCAAAAATTACTACCTTTCCGTTAATTCTGTTAATCTAGCTGCTTCGTAAACTCTTTATCTTAACTTCATAGTAATCACCAACCAAGTTCAGTGAGTGCTACAACTTGGGGACAAGGGCAAGGAAAAAGTTCATCTTGTGGAAAAGAATTTCTCATTAATTACATGATGGAATATTGGTCATAATCAAGCTCTTGAAGCTTCATTTTCTGGATTTCCAAATTCTCATATGACGATGATGTTGATTGCTCATGGAAAACGTGTGTTTTATTGGAGAAAATAGAATGAATGATTGATCCACTTCATTCAATTCCATCAACAGTTCAAAATCTTACAAACCTTAAACGACGACCGTACTGGCATTGGCTACACTCCATAAACTCGTTATATAAACAAAATAAGTTATTAAACCAAACTCAAACAACCTATTACTCGGCTAGTTTTTAGCCCTAAATAGCTATTTATTTATTTAAATAATAATATCAATATATTAAAATTCTTCATTACTCGTGATATATTTGATTATTTATTTATTTATTTTTAAATTTTAATCAAGTTAATAAATAATGTGACTAATATTTTGCAGCCGTCACTGTAATCACCAACCCCACTAGGTTGTTCGAAAAATCAGAGGCTCGAGTGGCCCGAAATACAAAACGACGTCGTTTTGGTTTTTTTTTAAAACTTTTGTTCTTCCTTTCCATAACTCGCAGGTTCCATAACTCAGAGGAGAGAAGGAAGAAGAAAGAAAAAGAAAAAGAAGAATAAGAAAGACGTGAAGAGGAGAGGAAAGAAATAGAGCAGAGAGATTCAAACCCAAAAATCAAACCCACAAATCAAACCCATAGAGACTCAAATCAAAACCAAAAATCAAACCCACAAATCAAAAAAAAAAGACTTGGGTGGTGGTGGTGGTGGTGGTGGTGGATCTGGATTTACATCAACAACAACAAAACATCATCAACAACAACCAACAATCACAAAAAAAAAAAAACGCATCATCATCAACAACAACCAACACATCATCATCATTACACATAGAGACTTCACAGATCTATATGTGTATATCTATATATATATATATATACGTCTAAGAGAGAGAGCCACCCACCGGCGCCGCCATCGCCATCGCCATCGCCATCGCCGTCTCCTATCTATGCCATCACCGTCTTCTCTTCCTCCTTCTCTCCATCTTTTTTTTCTCCTTCTCCTTCTCTTCCTCCTCCTCCTCTCTATCTTTTCTCCTCTCTCTCTCTCTCTCTCTCACGCCTCTTCTCTCTTTCTTCTGTCGGTTTCAAAGAGAGGAAAGGAGGAAGAAAAAAAAAAAAGAAACTCAAAACGACGTTGTTTTGGGTATTTGAGCTATTTCGGGCCAAGTTTTTTTTGAGCTACGAAGTATTTTCCCTGTAATTACTGACTTGCTACTAGTTGCGTGCGCAAAGGCCAAACGAAAAGTAGATCGTTTGGAAAAGTATTTCTGATGATTCCTTGTGTTTATGGAGAAAAATAGACCAGACTGACTAGTCAACAGTTCCACCAACAATTCAATTCATGGAAAAACCTTGTGTTGATCCTTGGTTCCACGTTGTCAATTCCTTCAACTGTTCAAAACGAAGAAACCATAAAAGGCTGGTGATGGGTTTGCATTGCATGCACTCCAAATGTTCGATAATTTGCTTCTGTAAAAAAATCTTTGCACCCAGACGAAAACCCAGCATTTATTCTGTCCCATTTCCAACTTTTGTTTCTCTAATCTGTGTTTATGTTTGAAAAATGAATACCTATTTCTTCCCAAGCTCTTGTGCTTTCCTCATGATCGTAATTTTAAGCCAAATCCCAACATTTTTATGCACCGATAACAATGAATACACAAACTGCACTCAGGAGTTTCAATGTGCAAACTTTCCTAACATCAGTTATCCTTTCTGGGGAGGGAACAGGCCAGACTACTGTGGCCACCCGAATTTCGGGCTAGATTGTCAAGGTGATGCCCTGCGGATCACAATCCAGAGTGCATACCGAGTCCTTGCAATTGATACCACAACAAGGACTCTGACAGTTGTTAGAGAGGAATTCTGGAACAATACTTGCCCGACGCAGTTCCAAAACACCACCTTGGATACCGCCCATTTCACCTATTTATCTGATTCCCAAAACCTCACGCTTTTACTATGGCTGCCAGAGAATTTTGGCTAGTCAAACAGCTATTCCTGGTCAGCTCAATTGCAGCGCAGATGGCATGAACAACACAATAAGTTTTGCGACAACCAGTGTCACATCTTCCACGAACATCAACATTTCAACATGCCAGACTAATGTCATTGTTCCAGTCAATCAAATAGAAGCTGTGGCTTTTGCAATCAATTCAATAAATGTAAGACAAGTTATTGGCAGTGGTGTTGGGTTGAAGTGGGATGCAAATAATACTCTGTGTGACCAATGTGTTCAATCGAATGGAACATGTGGGTCCAACTCGAGTAGTTCTGGTTCATTTCTTTGCTATTGCCCAGATCATCGATCTCATAAAATTTCCTGCAACACGAGTCAAAGCCAAACCGGTATGAGCTCCCTCTAATCTTGATCTGTTTTCTTTAGTTGTAAGACAAGATGATTTCCTTTGGTCTGATCTTCTTTTAGAGGTTTCCATAGAGTCCAAATTGCAAGGGATCTGGTTTTCCAAGTTATCAGACTTCGAAAATCATAAACTTAAAAATTTGGATGAGAGATTGTAACCAAATATATTAAAAAAAATTGGTCATCCTAGAATTATTCTTTACCGAATGGCTCATGGAACGGAAAATAAGAGCTCTGTTTGGTAGAGTTTTGGAACTTTAATCCTTGGTTTGCACTTGGTGTTTGCTTACAGTTTTCAAAAATTGATTTCCACATTCACATTTCAAAACACGCCTACCCGATTGACCGGAACAGTGAGGGAGAAATTTTTTTTTTTTTGGTGCCTATTATTTTTATATTTTAAATAAAAAAATATTATGGGAATTTTTTTTTAATTTTTTATGAGCTTTGAATAGAATTTTGAGTTCTGTGTTTGATTATGAGTTGTAAATTTTTGAATCAAATATCATATGTCACATCACTCAATTCAAAACTCATAACCAAACAAATTTTCTACGTTCAAATCATAATTCCAAAACTTATAAACTCAAAATACAATTATATTATCAAATCATAATTTTAAAGCTCTACCAAACAAAACCAAGATTTTGCATCTCACTTGAGTTTGAAGGTTGCATCTTCCATTCATTGCTTTAAATAAATAGTTGTTTGGGTGGGAATAGCCAAAGCTTTCCATGCCTCATATCATAGAAAATCCGCCCATTTTAATCATAGAGAATGTCCAAATGCCTTTTTACTGCCAATGATTGGATATGGATTTGCAGAGAAAATTTGTGGAGAGAATGGGGAAAAAAAGGAAAAGCCAAAAAGAAGTTGAATTGAAAGAAGCTAATTTTATTTCCATTTCATCCAAGAAACAAGAGAACAGCATGCCGGGGAACTTGATTCAGTAAAAACTGATAGGCAGCAATAATTTTGAACAAAATGGTTCCCCTAGGGATGTAATCGGTTCGGTACGGTCGGTATTTCAGTAAAAAATTACACCGAACTGATAATGTCGGTTTTACTATTTTGAACAACGATACAAACCGTTTCTCCCATCAAACCGCACCGAACCGAACTGAATTGATTGAAACAGTTCAGTTTGGTGTGGTTTAATCGGTTTATGATTTTTCAAACTTGAGTTACTTTTAAATATAATCATTAATCTATATAAAAATATTAAATTAGTTATTTGTCTACCATTTTAAACATATTCAATCCATCCATTTAATACATACTTTTCAATTCCTAAATTAACAAAAATAAAAACAAAAAAAAATTTAAAATACAGGTTTCAAAAATAATAAGTTAGAGTTAAATTTATATATAATAAGAGTTTACAAACTTAGGTTATAAAGATAATTGGCCTTGTTTAGGATAATTTACAAAAGTCAAAAAGTTAAAAAGTTACTAAAAAAGTCAAAAAAATCCATACTATTTGGGAGAAGTCTAGAGGGCAAAATCATTATTTTGCCTTTTAAATTCAACTACTCAAAAGTCAAAAAGTCAACAAGGGTAGAATGGTCATTTTGATTTTACTACAATATTTTATTGCACATTTTTTTGTAAAAAGTCAAAAAGTTATCCCAAACATACATCTTTTTTTTCTCTACTTTTTTAGTCAAAAAGTCAAAAAGTGCACTTATATAGCGCATTCCAAACAACCCAAAATAATAATTTATTATACTTATTAATATCATTATATTATTAGATTATATATATATATATATTATAAATATAATATATGTTGAAGCAGTCGGTTTCGGTTTAGATCGGTGCACAAGGTGCTTAAACCAATACCGAATCGAAAATTGAAAAAATTCAAATTTAAAAACCGCACAGATTGATTCTTGTTAAAAAAGCAGACTAAATATAGTCGATTTGGTCCAATTCAATCGGTTTGGTTGGTTTTTTCGATTTTTCTTACATCCCTACATGTTACCATAGATCGTAGGTGTCACGTTACGTTTATGTAGGTGTCACGTTACGTTACGTTTATATAGATATGATCTATGGTAACATTCAATTTTCTATATATGATTTTATTATTATTTATGATATTAACAACTAATATTGAGGGTAAATGTGTCAACAAACTTCCCACAGGTCTTATGGGAACATAAGTTTTTCAGTAGCACCATATGTAGCATAAGTCTCCTAATAGGACTTATAAATAATTTTCCCTTTTTTTTTTATTTGCCATAACTATATTTTCTTTTTTTCTTCCCTTGGTTTAGATAGCACCTAATTTATGTTTTACATTAATTTCTTTACCTTATCTTATGGTTTACTAAGATTTGTTTACAACGAAAAGTTATTTAACATTTTTTATCCTTGAGTTAAAATTTAATATCAAAATTGGGGTTTTGACTCTTCTACTGCGAAGGGGCATTTATAAAATAAAAAAATTTAAAAAAATAAAAAGAGTTTAAAATAATTATTTTAGGAAAAAAATTATTTTACTTTTTTGTGGTTTAAGCCAACAACAATCTATTTCTCTATGATTCAAATATTGTCAGAAAGTCCCTATATAATTATGGACCAAAGTGCAACCATTAACTCTGATATCTATAATTGTGAAATGACTATAATACCATCAAAGCCCATCCCCATATATATATATATATATTATTTTCTTTTTCTCTCATTTTGCATACACATAATTTCTAATGTTTAATATTAATTCAATTAAATCATAATTAATCATAAATTCTTAATTCCTTATTATAATTCATCTTTTTAATCTAATTTTTATTTAATTATAAGGGGGTAAAGTGCTCATGCCTCAAATCACAAGGGGTAATATGAATTTTGCAATGTTTAAAATTTGTAATCAATTATTTCTAACTCAGCAAATTAATATGTACAAAAAATTAATATTTAAAACAAACGAGTTTGATATATTTATTTATTTATTTTTAATTTATAGTTAAACTAATATTTAACTCAACTAATATTTTTTTTAACAAATTACTTTTGTTAAGTCCATACTAACGTCAGTCCATGGCTGGTTGGGCACGGGTAACGGCATGTATAAGCCTGCATTGGTTGCGGATCCTTTGGATACTTGGCAGATGCGACACCCGTCTACAAGCTTGAAAATTTCTTTCCTCATAGAAGGCCAAAAGTAAGAACTAGCCACAAGCTGCAAAGTTTTGTCACGCCCAACATGGCCTTCTTCATGCAACTCCTTGATAATTCTCAATCGAAGACTTGATGCAGGCACACACAATTGGTTGCCTTTGAAGAGGAATCCATCATGGAGAAGAAAGTCCGACCTCTGACCTGATTTAACTTCCGCCACAATACAAGAGAAATAAGGATCAACAGACAATAGTTCTTGAAAGGAATCGAATCCAAGTACCGTATTTCTCATAGTAGTAAGTAGAAAGGAACGGCGGCTAAGTGCATCAGCCACTTTGTTCAAGGCCCCTGATTTATGTTTAATCACAAAGGTAAATTGCTGTAGATATGCTGCCCAATTAGCGTGCCTTGAAGAAAGTTTGTCTTGGCTGTTGATGTGCTTCAACGCATCATGGTCAGAAAATAAAATGAACTCACTTTGGGACAGATAAGGATACCAATGTTTCAGGGATTGGACAATGGAATAAAATTCCACATCATAAGTGTTGTAGTTGCCTTTGGAACCGCTAAGCTTCTCACTAAAATATGCAATTGGACGACCCTCTTGGCTTAAAACAGCCCCAATACCCACTTTAGATGCATCACAGTATAGCTCAAAGGTTTTAGCAAAATCTGGTAATATGAGGACTGGTGCTGAAGTCAATTTTTGTTTGAGTTGTTGGAATGCTTCTGTCGCTGCCTCTGTCCAACAGAATTGGCCAGCTTTCATGCAGTCCGTAATTGGTGCCATAATGCTACTGAAATGGGGAATGAACCTCCGATAGAACGATGCCAACCCATGAAAGCTTCGCACGTCGTGAATGTTTTTTGGTACTGGCCAGTCACGAACTGCATTTACCTTGCTTTCATCCACAGAGAGGCCATCTTTAGATACGACATAACCGAGGAACACAACAGTATCAGTTAAGAAGGAACACTTGTCGATGCCAACATAAAATTTTGCTTCTTGCAGTATTGATAGAACCTGGCGCAAGTGCTGAAGGTGCAATTCATTATTAGTGCTATACACCAAAATATCATCAAAATAAACAACAACAAACTTCCCGATAAAAGGCCGAAATAGTTGGTTCATCACACGCATAAAAGTACTGGGAGCGTTTGATAAACCAAATGGCATGACTAGCCACTCGTAAAGCCCCTCTCGAGTTTTGAAGGCTGTCTTCCATTCATCACCTTCCCGAATCCGAATCTGGTGGTAACCACTTTTCAGATCCAATTTGCTAAACACGGTTGCTCCACTTAACTGATCTAATAAGTCATCCAACCGAGGTATGGGGAACCTATATCGGATGGTGATCTTATTAATTGCTCTACTATCGACGCACATGCGCCACGAGCCATCTTTCTTGGGGGTCAATAGTGCAGGTACGGCACATGGACTGAGGCTTTCTCGGATGTGTCCTTTGGCTAACAATTCCTCCACTTGTCGGCGAAGTTCCTCATGCTCCTTTGGACTCATGCGGTAGTGGGGTCTATTTGGCAAATTTGATCCTGGAAGCAAATCAATTTGATGTTGTATGTCTCGCATGGGTGGTAACATTGGGGGTAACTCCTTGGGAAATACATCATGGAACTCTGCAATTAGAGCCTTCACAGGCTCAGGGATCTTACTCTCTATAGCACTGTCTTTTCCTACTAGTACGAACACCATTCCCGTTTCAGCCACCTCCTCCAAGAACCGGTGCATAGACAATAAGCTAGAACTCTTCTCAGTGGCTAGCCTTGGTGCTTCTTCTCTATGAGGTTCAAGAACAATGCGGATCTTGTTAAATACAAAGGAGTAAGTGTTCTTTCGTCCATCGTGCAATACGTCGCGGTCAAATTGCCAAGGCCTTCCTAATAAAATATGGCAAGCATCCATCTGAACCACATCACACCATACCTTGTCCCTGTAATTAGAACCAATAGATAATGGGACTAAACAACGCTTGGAAACCGTTACCTCCTTGCCTTTCTGAAGCCATGACAGTTTGTAGGGGTTGGGATGTTGGCTTGTACTTATTCCCAATTTTGCTACAGCGTCCTCCGCAATGACATTCTCACAACTTCCGGAATCAATTACGAACTTGCACACCTTCCCACTAATGGTACACGTGGATTGGAAGATGTTGTTTCGTAACCACCCATTCCCTTCAACCTCTCGAGGTGTATAGCAAGCCCTACGCACAACCAATAGAGGACCCTCATCGCCAGCAACTCGTTCTTCCTTGTCATAAATACTAACTTCGGAGTCATTAGTAGTATCTTGCAGAACTTCATTAGTCCCATCTTCAACAATCTCTTCGTTGTCTATGAATAGGCCCTTGCCAATCCGATCACTTTTTCTGCAATCTGCAGCGCGATGACCAACTTCCCCGCACTTGAAGCAACGCATCCCACCACTAGTACCAGGGTTCCTGTTTGACTGTCCTCCTGGTGGTTTACCAGCCGTATCAACTTGGGGTGGTGCCAACCTTGCCCCGGGTAGATTCGGACTCGTATTTCGATTTGTTGGGGGCGGATTACGGTTACCACTAGTGTTTCCACTTGGCCACCCCGTAACTCCTGAGCGACGCTTTGACCTTTTTTCTAATTGTATAGCTCTTTGGTGTGCTTCAGAAATAGAATAGGGATCAAATAAATTCAAGGTATCTTGATATTGTTCCTGCAATCCCCCGATGTACCTAGAAACAAGTTGGTCTTCGTTTTCAGCAAGGTCATTACGTGACACCAATTGATAGAATTCAGTGGTATATTCATCGATCGTCTTCGTCCCTTGCCGTAAATTCTGCAGTTGTTGGTACATCATGCGTGTATAGTTATGAGGAAGGAACGCCATACGCATATGTTTCTTCATCTTCTCCCATGAAGAAATCTTACTCTTTCCTTGTCTGGTTCGAGTTAACTTTATTTGTTGCCACCAAGCCGCTGCTCTTCCCCTGAAGCGTGTGGCCACCAAGGAAACTCGTTTGTTCTCCGGAACCTCCTTGAAATCAAGAACCTCTTCAACAGCAAAAAGCCAATCCAAGAATTCTTCGGGTTGAACACTGCCGTGAAATTCAGGAATGTCAATTTTCAGGCCTGCTTCCAACCGTCATGAATTTGCTCCCGTACCTTGTCGAACTCTATCCCTTCGGAAATTTCCAGCAAAAGGGTTGTCGTCTATCTCCTCCATACTTTCTTCATCCTCCATAGACCGTGGGTTTGGATGTGGCTGGCGTTGCTGCTGTTGTTGCAACGCTGCAAGTTGCTCGGTCAGGGCATCAATTTGTTGTTGCATCCTTGCTGCGTCAGCTTCATAAATGTCGTCCATGGGCCGCCTCCTCGGTGCCATCGTTGCCTATGCTCTGATACCAACTGATGCAGTGGTGATCGAAACAAAAGTAACAATCTTAAGATCCGTTGATTCACACAAGAATACCGGAAATAAGACTCCTCTTTAGACCCGTTGATTCCCAAGAATACCGAGTTTAAAGGCTCAACCAAAGTTGATTCACACAGAATTAACCAAAGTTGGAACAAAGAGTAATAAAACTCAAAATATATTAATCATCAAAAAATGCTAGAGCCCTAAGGCTTTACACTCACTATTTATAAGAAAAAAACAGAGGCTACGAAGCAACACAGGTTTGGAAGTCAAAAAGGCAACTACTAAGGCAACAAGGCAAAACTAATAAAATATAAGACAAATAACAAGGCAATTGCCAAAAGTGAACATAATAATAAAATAATGGTAACTAAAGCAATGGTCATGGATGGATTTGCTTGCTGTGTGCTGGGCACGAATTGCCAAAAGTGAACATAATAATAAAATAATTGGAACTAAAGCAATGGTCATGGAATTGCTTGCTGTGCTGGTCACGCATAGCTTGCGGCTTGCTGCGCTGGCCATGTGCTGGCTGCGTCACGCACAGACCGATTCTTGTTAAAAAACAGACCAAATATAGCCGGTTTGATTCAGTTCAATTGGTTTGATCGGTTTTTTTGGTTTTTCTTACATCCCTATTCCCCCCAAAGAAAGTAAGCTCAACTTGCAATATTCACTTTCTATCACAATTAGGGTATTTGGTGTGGATAATAGGAGTGATTATAACTTATTTTAATTTGGGAATATGTGCCAAACTGTTTGGTGCAGTTTCTGCTTACAATTTTTTAGGCACAAATAGCTTAAATAAGCTGAGAAAAGCTGATTATTTAGAAGCTAGGCAAAGGGTGCTTTTGGTTTCTATTTTCTAATTATCAACTTTTAGCTTACAATAAGCTGCACCAAACAGCATTAATGTTTCTTGATGTTGTGGCAGTGTCTCATGATAATCTTCCTTGAACATTATACTACGAGTTCGTTTGGGAAGAAAAAGCTTGGGGCTTTTTTGGCTATTTTAGTCACAAAAAAACAAAATAGATTTTTTAGCCTAATAAGACAAAATATCATATCCAACCCATAATCATTACATTTTTTCTCTCACAAAAGTCAAAAAAGCCAAAAAAACACATCCCAAACGAAGCTTTTTAGTGTCAGGCTAAAATAAGCAAAAAGCCAAAAAGTTAACCTACATCCCAAACGAACCCTACGTCATAGATGTAAATTTTAAGCATATATAGAATCATTTGGGGAATTACATAGAACCATTGTCTTGTCCATCTGAAAGTGTCACTAATTTTCCCTTTTATCTTGCAGAATCAACCTCTCGTTTTCATTTGGGAAGCAAATTAAGATTAAGATTAACCATAGGTAAGATGAGAGTCAAGATAACTCTTGGTCATTGAAAGCCAAACTCTTCATAATTTACAATGAACAAAACTGGAATTTTATCATCTCCCAATCACAAGACTCACCACTTCTATGCTCTATTTTATCTTATATCTGCAGCATTCACAATAACATGCTTAATCACAATAATCTTCTGCCTTAAAAGACGGTTTGCATCATCGGCTAATGTGGTGGCATTCTGGAAGAAGGAAAGTGCAGATGATCAAAATGTTGAAGCATTTATAAGGAATCACAGATCTCTTGCTCCGAAGCGATACAGGTATTCAGATATTAATAAAATAACCAACTCATTCAAAGATAAACTAGGTCAGGGAGGGTATGGTTCTGTATACAAAGGAAAGCTATCTGATGGCCGTCTTGTGGCAGTCAAGGTCCTCAGCCAGACTGAGGGAAATGGACAAGAATTTATTAATGAAGTTGCTAGCATCAGTAGAACTTCTCATGTCAATATAGTCAATCTTTTGGGTTTTTGTTTTGAAGCAAAAAGAAGAGCTCTAATTTATGAATTTATGGCCAAAGGATCGTTGGACAAGTTCATTTGCAACGATGAATCTGCGAGTACAAACTGTCCCCTGGAATGGAGTATATTGTACCAAATTGCATTAGGCATTGCACGAGGGTTAGAGTACTTGCATCGAGGTTGTAGCACGAGGATTGTACATTTCGATATAAAGCCTCACAATATTCTCCTTGATGAAGACCTCCGGCCTAAAATATCAGATTTTGGTCTTGCTAAACTATGCCAAACAAAACAGAGTGTGATATCAATGTTGGGTGCAAGAGGGACTGCTGGATATATTGCTCCAGAAGTGTTTTCTAGAACCTTTGGCCAAGCCTCTCATAAATCCGATGTCTATAGCTATGGAATGATGGTTCTTGAAATGACTGGAGCAAGAGATCAGAAAGTTGGAGTAGTCCAGACAAGTGAAAAATACTTTCCACACTGGATTTATGAGCATCTGGAACATAATAAGGATCTGAGACTGCATGACATTGTCACTACCAAAGAGGAAGAAGAAACAGTGAGGAAGATGATCTTAGTGGGGTTGTGGTGCATTCAGACCAGTCCATCAGACCGCCCACCAATGAGTAAGGTGGTAGAGATGTTGGAAGGAAGCCTTCAATCCTTGCAAATTCCTCCAAAGCCTTACCTGTTTGCTCCTACAAGGGCTGACCCATCAGCCCAAGACACTTCCCACTCATTAGGGACAACAACTATGGTGGAGGAAATGTCAGAAGGAAGACTTCAATCTATGCAAATTTCACCCCTCTCATCTTTTCTACTGTGAGGTCTGGCTAGTTCGCTTGAGACTCTTCCAAGTCATAGTCGTTACAGGCGACAACCGGGCTCCTTGGGCAACTGCTTGAGCACTTTCAGCTGCCAAAATTGCCTAGGTGATGCTCTCTTGAGGAAAACAATCCATCAGATTGGCCATCAACTATTAAGGCGGTGGATATGTTGTCAAGAAGCCTCCAAACTTGGCAAATTCCACCTAAGTGTTTCTTGTTTTCATATGCAAGGTCAGCGAAAGATTCCTCCTAATTATTGTCAATAACAATGGAGGACAAAGAAGGGGAAGAAAAGGAGAGAAGCTTCTTCATTTAGCAGAGCAAGAGTGCAAGAGAGCCCTCTTCACATCTTTCCTTCTTTCTTCTTTTGTTTCTTTATTTATTTTTATTTGTTTTACATGTTTTTTGCTTCTTAATAGATAGTGTTGCATGTCCTAACCGTAAGGCTTGTCATGCGTCCCTCATGACACAAATTCAAGTCACGGAAATAGCCTCTTTAAAAATGGAATAACTGCATACATCTTACATTTCCTTAAGACTTTGCTTTACCAGTAATCTCATGCACTTGTTGTTTTTACTTTCTAATCTGTTATGTACTTATAAACTTCTCAAGAATTTCAAGTGAGATTCAAAGATGGTTGCTTCAAATTTTGATGTTGAAGTTGTAGAAACAGTTTAGATGGCCCACAAGCTAGAAAAATTTATTCAGAGTTTTACAAGCCTGAAAAGTCTCAGATGAGCAATGAGAAGAAAGGGCTCACAGCTTATTAAACAAGCCTAAAAAGTCTTTGATGTTAACGGTTTAACAGCATCTCCAACTTAATTATCTATTAAAAGCAACATTTTCTATTTAAAAAGGAATTAATTTCACTTTCTACTCCTAAACTATTAACAAATTATCTACTTGGTCATTAAATTTTAAATTGAGCCTACTAAGTTCCAAGGATATTAGTGATCCAACATAATTATCATGCCAAACTAGATATCGTTCTAATAGATAAATAGTCTCAAATCCATGGGATAACCATTTATGATGAGAGAAATCATAATTCACAAAGGAAAACACTTAATTAATTAGTCTAATTACTTGTTAAAACCAAAAAAATAATAAGTAATCTAAATTTAAATGGTAAAAACCAGTAAAAATGTGTCAAAATATGTAAAACCGGAAACAAATATTCTTAGTTATACCTCCCTCTCAAAATATTGGTTCATTTTGGGAATTTAACTTTTTTTTAGTTGTACAATTATTACATTTCAAAAATATGAACTTTTCAAAATTACCATTTGATTTAAAATTAAAATAGTAAAAAAAAAAAATAGAAATATCAATTGTCATAATTATACTTTTTGTGTTATGCTGTGTTTGGTTGGGAAATTTGGAAAAGGATTTGGAAAGAGAAATGAAAAAGGTATGTGAAATGTGAATAAAATATGTATATATTTCACATAGTTTCACACACCTTTTCCCTTTCCCTTTCCAAATCCCTCCCCAAATCCCCCAACCAAACACACCATTAATGAATTTAAAAGAATGGCCAAATAAAAAATTCATGTTATTTTAATTCTTGATTTTAAAAAAAAGCTAATATTTTGAGATAATGAAAAATGAAATAAAAAAAATATTTTGAGACGGAAGTCTCTGTCCATTAACATTCCAATAACAAAGAAAAGAAACCATAAAAGACTTTAATGAGTTTGCATTGGCTGCCCTGCAATTTTTCGATAATTTGCTTTTTATTTTTATTTTTATTTTTTTATCCCTTTAAAAAAATCGTTTCTATAAAAATACCTTTGCACCGAGACAAAAACCCGGCATTTGTATGGTTGCATTTCCAAATTTTGGTGAGCTCTATCTGTCTGTATCTGTAAAAATGAATCCCCTTCTCTTTCCAAGCTCTTGTCTTTTCTTCATGATCATAATTTTAAGCCAAATCCCAACATTTTGTATGTCGAAAGCGAGCAATACACAAACTGCAGTAAGGCGTTTCAGTTTAGGCGTTTCAGCCTAAACTGCACAGGCGATACACCACTGATCACAATCCAAACAAGACCATATCGAGTCCTTACAATCAATGATTCAACACAAATTCTCAAGGTCGTTAGAGAGGAATTCTGGGAAAATATTTGCCCTACAGAGTTCGTTAATGCCACTGTAGATAACACCCCTTTCACCTATATATCCCCCCAGGACCTCATGCTCTCCTACGGTTGTGCGAGACTTCCTGCTACAACCATTCCTGGCCAGTTTGATTGTAGACCAACAGACTAGGTTTTCCGAGTTTGATAACCGCCTCAAACATGACCACCGTTACGTCTTGTCACAAGGTTGTCAGTGTTCAAGTTGATCAAACAGAAGCCGCGGCTTTTGCTTCATCTTTAACAAGTAATTCAACTTCAGTAAATGTGACACATGTTCTTGACAGTGGTGTTGAGTTGCAGTGGGATGCTAATAATAGTATCTGTGACCAATGCATCGGGTCAAGAGGAAAGTGTGAATCCAACACGAGTTCTGGGTTGTTTACTTGTTATTGCTTGGATAAACCTTATGCATTTACCTGCAACACAAATCAAAGTGGAACCAGTACGTGCCCCTCTAATCTTGTTACTATTTTTTGTTTAGTTGTAAGATTAATTGTTGGTTTTAGAAAATCCAGGATCCCTAGATCTTTGGTTGCCTTTGCTCTGGTCTGATCTTATTTTAGAGGGAGCTCAAACTAATTTCAAAGTTTCCATGTAGAGTCCAAATTGCAAAGAATCTGGTTTTCATGTTATCGAACTTTGGTCATAACTTAAAATTCTGGGTGAGAGATGGTATTTGCCATCCTACCATGATGCATTACCAAATGACTCGTGAACTATGAAGCACGGATACTTCAAAAAGGGTGACGTATCCGTATCGGATACTTATCGGATACCGATACTCCTCGGATACTCGCGGATACGTATCGAATACTTCTTAAAAGTATTGGATACTTCTTAATTAATTTTTTATTAATTTTGAAGTATCGGATACTTAATTTTGAAGTATCGGATACTCGAAGTTACATATTACTTATAATATTTTGTTTAGTTCTTTCATAAGAGGAATATAGTGAGAGTTTAAGTAATAGAATTTGTCAAATTGATATATCCTTGTTGTCTCTCTCACTTCTCTCTCGCTTTCTCACTCTCTCACGTTTCTTCTCTCTGCTCTCATTCTTTTTTTGGTGTTGGCATGTAAGGATGATATTTAATTTGCATTTGCATTTGCATTTGCTTTTGCTTTTACATTTGCTTTTGCTTTTGCTTTTGCTTTTACTTTTAGTTTTGGATGTTTTATGAATGTTTGAGCACTTTTAGGTTAATAGGAATCCCTCTCTTTATTTATTAATTTACTTTAAGTTTTATTTTCATGCATATTACATTATTAAAATCACAAAAAAAAAAAAAATTATGAATGTATCCCCGCTGTACCCGTATCATACTTTTTCAAATTTTGACATATCGCCATATCCACATCCCCATAACACCATATTCGTATCCGTACTTCCTAGGCTATCATTGATGACTTAAAAAAGTATATTTGCTGAAATTTTTATTTAAGAATGGTTTTTTGGCTTTGGCTTTAGCTAAGGTCTTGTGATATTCACTGATGAAGGGGAACAAGTTGAAACTATTGACCTTGAAGACTCTTAGTTTTGTAGGAATCTTTCTTCTTTATCAAGTTGTCTTTTGCTTTAAGTTTTATTTTTATGCATACTGCATTACTAAAAATTGTTAAAATAATACTTTTTACGAACGTATCTCCGCCGTACCCGTATCCTAGTTTTTCAAATTTTGTCGTATCGCCGTATCGTATCGTATCCGTATCCGTATCCGTATCCCGTATCCGTGCTTCCTAGCTCGTGAAATATAAGAGCACATCTGACTTGGGTTTGAGGGTTGCATCTACCACTTATTGCTGGAAAATCCTCCCATTTAATCATAGAGAATGTCCAAATTCCATTTTAGAACTCTTACGTTGTGTTTGGATTTAAAATTTGAGTAGCTAGTTGTGAAGAAAAAGGAAAAGGTGAGGGGAAATTGCTACTCCGTAAATTTTTGTCACTTTTTCCATCCATTTCCCTTTCCTACCACAAATCGCAACTTATATCTAAGATCAAAATACAACCTTAAGGTCATGATTGAATATGGATTTGTGGAGAGAATGTGTGTGTGGTGGAGCATTTTCATTTCTCTTGATAAATTCAAAATCCAAACATAGCATAAAGCTAAAAAGAGAAAAGCATGTTGGAAAACTTAACTCCGTAAAAACAGATAAACAGCTATTATAATTTCAAACTAAATGGTTTACCTAAGAAAGTAAGATAAACTTGCAATATTCAATTTATATCACCATGTTTCCTGATGTTGTGGCAGTGTGTTATCATAATCTCCCTTGAACATTATAATACATCAAAGATGTACTTTTTTTAGTATATAGCATCATTGAGGGCTAATAATATAACACCATTATCTCTTGTCCATCTGGAGGTGCCGCTAAATTTCTCTTTATCTTGCAGGATCAACCAATTGTTTTAATCTGGGGATCAAATTAACCATAGGTAAGATGAGAATCAAGATAACTCTTGGTCATTGGAAGCCAAACTCTTCATAATTTGCAATCAACAACACTGGAATTTTATCATGTCTTTGCCCTTCTAATTGGTTGGAAGATATCTCTAGATGAACTTAAGCTCTCTGTTCAACCTTAAGCCCCATTAGAGAGAAGAATTGACTGATATTATTATTTCCCAATCACAAAACTCACCACTTCTATGATTTATTTTATATATGCAGCATTCTCAATCATTGTTTTATCATGTCTTTGCCCTTGTAGATACAAATTTTAAAACATGAAGTGTTTCAACACATTTCAAAATTTTATGTTACAAATGTCCACTGTTTAGTTTTTTGACTAAACAGTGTTGATTATTTAATAGCAGGTTCTTATTTCTGATCGTTAATTACACATTTTATACAAATGAAACCTCCGATTAATGAAGAACAAAATAAACAACAAATGACAAATTAAAAAAAAAAGAAATATTTTATTGAGATTGTTATGGGTTTTGAACCCTCGAATACAAAATACAGTTTGGGTTTGGAACCTTTTACCTATTCATCGCCATTAGCGTAGGCTCTTCAGTTCTCTAGGCTTCTCTTCTTCTTTTTTTTGTAACGACTTCTTTAGCTCTCAATTTCTTTCTCTCTCTCTCTGATCTTTTCCCTTTTGATTTTCCAATCCCCCCGTCTTGTGTGATGGTCC